TATGATGAAAAATCTGCTTAAGTATTTTCTTAAAATCATTAACTTTTGTAACAACATTAAGTTTCAGCAAGCAAAATTCTAAGTTTTCCCAAGCACAAATCGTATCAATTTGTGGATTTAAAAAAGAGATAGTTCCTGTTTCAACGATATGTATCTTGCGAATCTTCTTGCATTTCTCTAAAATCATTTTTTCTAGAGCCAAAGAAATGGAACTTTTCATTAAACAAATAGAATGACGTTGCTGTTTGATTTAAATTATGGGGTCATCTTATAATTATTTTTTTCAAAAAAAAAATTCATGTCTAGATAATTTATTCCAAATTTATCTTATCACAAATTGAGTTACGTTTTAACTGAGTTCATTGGTTTTCAAGAAAAAAAAATATTGATTTACAAGTTTGATTTAATCTTACTAATAACAATTCTTTATTTTAAAATTTTCATTGTCATTAGTTAACTGAGTTAATAAGTTTTCGCGACATTACACAGGGTCTTATTTAAGAACTCTTTACAAATTGATTATACCGGGTACTATTTACCCATCCAACGGTTAAATTGATAGATGGTTTTTTTATTTAAAGAATTAATTGAATAATGACAAATGAACGCTGATATTTTCTGATTTATAGTTATTGTTTATTTAATAAACTCAAATTTGATCACACAGAATTGTTTTTTTTACTTGATTAATTGAAAACCGTTTGTTAACAAGATAATAAATAATATAAAACATACAAATTCATAACATTTGTAATCTTTGAATCTTTTAAAGTGAGTGGCAGAAATAAGGTTAACAATGTTCAACAAGAAAGCCAGTTAAGCCAAAAAAATTATATGAACGATTCAAAACAATTTATGAGCAGCCAAAAGCTAGTCGTTCGTAAGGTTAAGGAAAGGCAATTTTGTACTCGTATGAGAATCTTTACCCAAAAGAATTATGTGAACTGTCCAAAGCAATTCAAGGCTCTTCATAGCGGTAAAATGATTTACTAATGTTGTTCACTAAATAATTATAATAAAGGTATGAATCAATTAATCTAATAATAAATTATGTTCTCATATTAGCAGATTTTAAAGGAAACCTTTTTCAAAACAATTATACACTGGTAGAAGAAATTAATCGTGTGAAAAATGATATTGATAATTATAAGTCCGTTAGCACTGCGGTCGGCCTTAAGATTGAAGAAAATGACTCAAGATTAAATTTTAATTTAAATCGAGGTTTATTCAATTATATTCAATAACATGTGAAATTTTTGTAGTTAATAAATATTCCCAGTTCATGTTATATTTACAAAGAAAATTCAATTTTATTGCATTTTATTGCTATCAAAATAGCACGAAAAAATTTCAGACCACAACTATATCGAGTATTTAATTGGCGCTGCAATATTGAAAAACTATGCAATTAAGAGAAATTAAAATTATGTTCTGCTTTAATACATCCTTTCATGGTTTGAGGCCCTTTGCAATTTCTGCATCTCATTTTGCAACTATTCTTATCTAATGTTTCATTACAGTTTTTGCAAACTGTACAACAAGGTTGTTTGCCAACTTTATGTTTGTATACGTCATATATGTATTGACATCCTTCACTTGTGCAAGATCCATTGCAGCAATTATATCGCTCTTTGCATCCTTTACTATAAAGATCTCCACCACAACACTCATACTCATTGCGACAACAATTATTATTATTTTTGCAACAGGAATAAACATTCTCACATCCGGGCGAGCACAGACTTTCTCCACAGCATTTCCAGTACCCGGGAATCATAGGGTTAATCATCCCAAATGTAATTGCACGAATAAAACATTCGCCAGGATTGTAATTGATTTGAGTATCAATAGGCACACCAGGGTGCACAGGCATATATGAGCCAGGGTGGTAAGCTTTTAAAGGACCAGGGTGATATTCATCAAGATTGTTCGAATGTACACGTATAATTTTATATAAATGAATTTCAACCGTCTCTGGATGAAACGACTCTGCTTCTAAATGACACTCTGGAATCGCTAGCCTTGGATCAGTTTCTTCAGGACAATTCAAACATTTGACTTTTTTGAAATTGATCTTTATCGGATGCATGGGATGTTCATTCATCAATAAATTATATTTTGCTTGCTGAAACTTAATGTTGTTACAAAAGTTAATGATTTTAAGAAAATACTTAAGCAGATTTTTCATCATA